CATATTACAAGATTTTGTTTGTTACATATATTGCAATAGAATAGACATTTCAGATTATATATCTCGAAGACCAAGATTCAGGAATAGGGGAGTAGTTTAACAGAGCCACTTCAACTGTCTCGTTTATTTGTACAAACAGTGCTCGATTATATGCTGAGAGTCATTGATAGAAGCCAGTTGCATATTGATATACATGTACCGGAAGTGTGGTTACCTACCAGCTGTAAGAGCAACTACATTCTGAGGGCTAAGAAGAGAATATATTTATGTGAGCAAGGATTGACAAGTCCATGCCTCGCTGATAATTAAAATGCCAGCTAGAGTGAAGCTCTGAGTGACAGGCAATCTTCTACATACCCAAGGCATTGTAAGTCCACCGATAAACGGCAGGGATTATGCCTGAGAAGTCTACAATAACCGAAAGCTCTACAGCCATGATTAAGCTTATACCTGAACGGTTGCTCATCTATGCAGGCCCTCAGTTGCATGGCAATCCAGGCTGCAGGTGTTACTAAAGGTTTGACTAAGTGGGTTATCTTCGGAATAGGAAACATCAGCTAATACTTAAGGGATGCGGGGTACTAGTGGTATTGCTTCCCTTCCGCTAAAACGCAATACCGGAACTTAGGAAGGAAGTAGGACCAGCGAAGTGTAGTCCTTTGAATTATAAATACTCAAGATTTTTCCCGCCCAACTATCCGATTTTCTCCAATTTTCCCTAAAACTATCAATTAATTTCTACTCGCTAGCAGAGCCGTTAAAGATTATTGAGTTCTAGCGATAAATCATTGGAATAATCTAAACCACATTTCTATTTTGCATGGTCAAATCTTTTATCGTATTCTCGTTATATGTGGAAAGGCTCTCCCTGTTACAGGGATTCCGCATCACCCGAGTTAGAACCCATACTTACTTTGTAGAGGACTACTAATATTCTCCGAAGCCTGACATTGCTGTTCTTCAACCATCCCTCGAGCTCCTTTGAATTGGTAATTTGTAACTGCATTGGCCAAATAGGAGGAACAGCTGCTGGGGGATATTCTCAATTGACCTCCATATATTCTTGATTACTTTGCCGGGTTTGGTGTCCTTCAAGATCAAGTTGTATAGCTGGGGGAAAGTTATCTTAGTCAAAATTCCAATAAATGATGGTTCATTCAGGGGATATTCCAGTCATAAATAGGTGATGGAACGAGAATAAAAAATGCCCCTGGAAAATTGGGGTCTACTACGGTAACCATTATGGAAGATTGCAAGAGTTCCAGAGGTACTGCACATTCTTTCCCTTACCGGTAGCGTCTTCCGGCTGCTTGACCACCGCCATGATCATGATAATCGCTATCATTGACAGCCTCTTTGAACTGACAGTATTCCTATCCCCTTGAAACTTCAAGCTTACCCTTCATACAAACATCTATGATGAGCCATTGTAGAGCACTCGCTAGTGCTCTATGGGTATCAGATTCACCCTCATTCCAAATTGACAGAAAACCATCGAGGGAAGGTAGGTTCATTAAGTAAAGGCATAGGGCATTAAACGCAATCAATCCAGAGATGTTTTTATTGACCCAACTTACATTTTGCATATCCATCTTTAGGCTGTTGCTGATGCTGGTACACTTTAGGTAGGTTGAGTATACCTAAAATCATTTTCGCATTGCTTGCTTGTGTCATTTTAAATGCCCTCTGGAATGTCTCTGAAAGACTCAGGGATCTCTCCTGTACAATCAGTAATGGCTTGAATCAAATCCATTTCTGTTCTACTGGTGAGGTATGGTGTATTAGTTCGGACAAGCCTGTACTAGAAGATAACTGACAGGGGCATTGAGGCTTGGCCGTAGGGTTCTCCAGTGCAAGAGCCCTCGGTGGAGTATTGATAGACACTGTAACAGGGACAGTCTTTCCACGTATCGCTAGAATCTGATAGAACGATGTGGCCATGCAAGATAGAAATCAGGTTTCGATTATTCAAAGATTCTTTCGCAAAACTCAATAATTTTTAAGGGCTCTACTGCCGAGTAGAAAATACTTAATAGCTCTCTTGACCACTGAGGAATCAGATCGTTGAGCTGGAAGGATCCTGAATATTTATACTCTCAAGGATTCCATTCCGCTGCTCCTACTTCCTTGCTAAATTCCGGTGATGCCTTCTAGCGGAAAGGAAGCAATACCACAGCTACCCCGCTTCTCTCCAAGCATTAGCGGGTGCTTCCAGTTCCCAAGGCAACCACCCTTAGTTAAAGCTTTTGTAACACCTGCAGTCTTGGTTGTCGCACAACCGGGACCTGCATGAATGAGCTACTCCTTAGGTGTAAGCTTAATCATTGCTGTAGAACTCTTCGCTTATTGTAGACTTTCCCAGGCAAGGTCCCTGCCACTACCGGAGGACTTATCATGCTCAAAGAATGCAGAGGATCGCTGAGCACTCAGAGCTTCACTCTGGCTGGCCTCCTAGTCATTGGCGAGGCATAGACTTGTCAGTCATTACTCCGATGAATAGATCCTTTTACTAGCGCTCGGAATGTAGTTACTCTGACAGCTGGTAGCTAACCACACTGCCGGTACTTGCATATCACCGCCAGTGTGCAACTGGCTTCTAACAATAACTCGCAGTATATAACCGAGCCCTGTGTGTACTCATACACAAGACAGTTGAAATTGCTCCGTTACAGGCGCTGGTGATGGAGTAGTAGAGCCTGCTGGTCGTCTCGAGTAGCCTGTTGCTGGGCCTGTTGCTGCTGCGCCAATTCCTTGGTCTTTTGAAGGGCCTGTTGCTGGGGCTGTTGAACGGACTGCACTAGACTTAGATCGAGTAAGAACCTGACTTGGAACTATAGTCTTCTAATCAACATTCTTTTGCGGAGAACTAGAGGATGCTGGTGGGGTAGCACTAACTACAGGTACGGTCGCTCATAGAATGGTTTCTGATGAAATACTGCTGTGTGCTGAGAAAGTAGTGGAGACTGCTGCTAGTGGGCTTATTGCTGTGCCTGCATCAGCAAAAAACGGGTTTTGCCAGGAGGAATCCACGCGCCCAAACGTCCAAATTCGTCTTGCGCACCCAAAACCTCGTCTATTGCTCACAAAACCTCGTCCTATGCCCCAACAGTTTTTGTCCCTTGTTCTTTGACTACAAAACATGCTCATTTGACAGCTCCAATTAAGAAAAGCATCGCTTGATGCAGACAGGTCATTTTTTAATTACACCATTATACGTTCGTCTTATTGCCAAATATCCTCGTCTTCACGAGCTTTCAACATTGAATCTTTTGTCAGAAATTTAAGTCCATTCTGTCTAAATACATACTGCCATCAACAAGCCCATCAGAAATCTTAGTCTATGAATCATTCTCTCTAAATACACACTGCTAACGACACCTGTCAGAAATGTAAATATAAGTACACATTGCTAAATACACACTGCTACTACCGACCGCCGTGAGAAATCTCCAATGCTCGCCACTGCTAAAGACCCGAGTCCCTCAGCGATTTTGTCATTATGCCTCATTTTCTAAATTGAATATAAATTGTCGCTTGCCTACCCGTATAAAATCTATATGTGACTGGCTCCAGTCAAGTGCCCAGCTTTATTTCAGTAAATCAAATTGTATGTCGATAGATCGATAGTACTATTGATAAACCACCTGTCATTGGTAGCTGACGTCGTCTCGGGTACCAAATCAACGGCGCCCAAAATGCTTTTTATATTTACTACCCATATATCGTCAGGTGAATTAGAGCAACGCGACACACTTATCAGCCCGTGGTCGACGTTGGGGTTTTTATTGAAGTCCAGCTTCAATGGTTGTATCGCAGCCAAAGGTCTAGGCCCAGTATGTCCCGGGTCCTTGAGCTTAAGGACCGCAAGCAGCCTTGCTGGTCATAAGGCCTGCAAAACCTCCAGGCTAATTGGCTTTTGACAAAACCAAACCCAGTCATTCAGTGAATCCCCCAGTCTGTAACCCAGCGTTCCCGTCGTACAAAGTGTGTGAATTGTCCTCTCGTCGCCTTCGTCGTGCAAAAGGATGGGTATATTGAGTTGCTTGAATTTGTTTACCCGCCAGCTATCGATGTCTTCGGGGGTGTTTTTGGACCCAAGAAGAAGCTCCATCCTGAAATACCGCCGGATATTATACCCTAGTCCTCTCATAGCATCAGGGATATCTACACCCTGAACGTTTGTCAACTTGGCTGGCCATTTGACCCATTTCTTCTCCAATCTGATGTCGATTGTTAAATAGACCAATGGCGCGATACACTGTGCTTGAAACCCTGAGTCATCCTGAGGGTCTTTAAGGTCCCGTTTTGTGGCCTACATTCTCCTTCTGAGATGTGGCTCTAAGATGTAGAAATTACCGACAAGCTCAGATTTCGAAAAGCCGTCTTGTGTAATTTGCAGAAGATTTGGTTCACAAATGAGAAAGGTGTAATCACGGTTAAACGTCCAAAGTATCTGCATCGCAGGATCAACGTGATTGCTCCGACGTTACGGTATTTTGATCTGATCCCTGTGGGCTGACTCCCAAGACTCAGTCGAATACTCCGGAATATTGCCGTATTGACGAATGTGCTCTGCGAAATGGCCAATGAGGTGTATTTTGGGGAGGTTGAAGTGGGATTCTGTTCCCAAGATCTTGTTGGTTTCCACTTGTAGATTTAGCATTTGCTCTGCGACCACCCTTCGTATTTTTCTTAAATAGTCCTTCAGGGCTGCTCACTCGTCATCGTATTCCCCGCGCAATCCTTTGTGTTCCGACACTAGTCTCTCAGTCTTTCTCTTGGTATGATATTTCCTGAAGATATCCTTTGTCTGATGGAAAGCCTTTAGGTAACTATGCAACATGTCTATCGTCAGCTCGTTATGAGAACGATACTGGATGACTAGTACCCAGTCTACCAATGCCTGGACGTATTGAAATGCTTTCTTGAATGGCTCTGCCTGGGCAGATGATTGATTCCTGAGGGCAGACGCCAGGGCTGGCAAGATCTTCTTCTGAAAATTATGTATCTCCTTCCTTTGCCATTGACTGGCTGCTTGATAGCGCTTCATCGGTGGGGGTAAATCCAGGGTGAAGTGGCATGTGCGTCCATATGGCGTTGAATTCATCCAAATGACCATGTTCTTTCAGGAAGTCCTCCAGCCACTCCATAAGCTGTTTCAGGATTCTCAAGTATACCACGTGCAGCATGTATGGCTTATGGAGGTCGTAGGCTTGGACGAAGGGGAGATTCCAGAAAGGGTTGTACAAAGGTCGTAAACTATGAGAATCGAACTACTTGGTCAGCGGCTCCAGCTACCGCTTTTCGCCTCTCGTCGGATTCCCCAGTACCTTCAGCGCCCTGTACTGACGATACATTACCTTGTATTCGTACTGATCACGAGGGTAGGTCTTGAGCGGTTCGGCTTCGTATTCACCTAGTCTATTGATGGGCATCTCGTACTTGAGGAACAAGTTGAACTTGGTATTAAAAACATTGAGGCTGTCCATGTGGTCCGAAAGTCATGCGGTTAGAATCGGCCAACAAAGTCTCTCCTATCCGTCTGAGCAGCCCATTAAGATGCCGAGTCTTTGGTCAAAGTGCAGCAGAGGCTCCAGTATAATGGACATGACACTCTTCAGCATCTCCGCCGCCCATGACCGGAGTCTCCCCTTTGATGAGGTATTGGCAATAGTGCAAGCAGCAAATGTGACTTGTCCAACGGCTTAGATCATAACTTGCCCAGGATATTGCCTATCGTCATATATATCAGCCTGGTCTTCTTATCTCCAGAGAAGCTTGCCAGGTGTGTGACATCGGAGCTGCAGATAATCAGGACAATCGTGGCCCCGATGGGAACTCTTTTTTGCATATTTCACCACCAGTCCGCTGTATGCATCTCGGAATAGAGTTGATATCCATCAGCGTCCTAGACCCCCTACAGCAGATAAACGATGCTCGACTTGTAGCAATGTTGACCCAAGAGATACCTCACAATTCGACCGGATTCCTGTAGTATAAATCGGTCATTCTCCCAAAGCCTTCCCCAACGGTCCCATATTGAAAGTTGGGTGGGAAGCCAGTCATTTTGTCGAGCTGTTTATGGAAGGTGTAAGCGGACTGAAAGGAACATCCGTCCTTTGTATTCTTATTCAACCACTAATTGAAGTAGGTGTCAATTGACGTAGAGGTCAATTTGTACTCCATAAAGAAACGAGACAACGTCCATGCCGCCGTATTCTTGAACCCCGCCCAAGGCCTCCAATTCTCTTTCATATAGTCTCGATAGCCCTGTACCCACCATAGTCTTTGTCCACTGTTGAGTAGATATGCTGTGGTCTTTTAATTATCATTAGCTTGCCCTGCGGTCAATGGGGCGGTCATCATCGCGCTGTCGTTGTCGGAGTCAGCATCAAAGTCAGATTCCACCCAGGAGTTAGCTTCTGAGTCGGTATCATCGTCAGAACCATCAATTACCATAGTACATCAGCAAGCTTAACAATTTCTGTAAAGTGTCTCCTGTGTCTCTAGAGAATCAAAATCCAGTTTGATGTCTCAGGGGAACTTCAGGAGACCCGGGAGACTGTTGGGAGACTCATGAATATGTACAATTTTGCTGATGTAAGCGTACTAGGCACGGCGTCTGGCAGCGTAGTTTCGTCCTCCTGGTCTTCGTCCTCACGGGCTTGATCACCACCATGAACCCGGTAAATATGTCTAGCAAGATTCCCAACATGACGGTAATACCATAGGTAGAAGGGCACAGTTTGGATGCTATCTGGTCTTTTGATCCGTCGTCTGCATCTTTTGGTTTGTGATCTGCTTCATTCTCGCATTCAATGACATTGATATCGAAGATTTTTATAGCATTTGAATTCTGACGGAGTAAAATGACGATCATCACACAGACCGACGATCGTTTCCCTGGAGTTGTCAGCCGCAAGCCATGATTTGCCAAGCACATACAACCCGACGTCATTTATAACAACGTTGATACTCCCAATTTTGATTCCGATAACGTTGTCCGAGCTCACCACCAATAGTTGTAAACCTCCGTCAAAGCACTCGTGTTTGTTCATTCATTAACCCAATCCGGCAACGATGAGGCTTTGTTTATCGTCCCCTGCTTTGTGTATATTGTTAGGCATTACGAGTTGCGGATTCCAGGACACTCTCACGATGGCAATTCGCATAGTTTTTATTCAATATAAGCGTCTAAATACACCGTTGTTTCCCTAGAGTCTATCTTCCTGAAGGCATCCACCAACGGTCAACCGTATTTTGACCACTATCCTAATACAACTGACTACAATGGTGGGAACTCGGTCAGGTAAGAACAAGTTGGCATTGGCGCAAGAGGAAAGGTCATCTCCGAAGAAAAGAAAGGAAGGTGCCGATAACGAGGGCACCTGAGTTTTGTCGATTAGTAGAGCAACGTGTATAGTAGAGGTAAAATTTCTATCAAGTCCTATATTTCTCACCCTCTGATTCCCACCAGGGGTATGTGAAAAAGAGCAGATTTATTGGCACCGAAGTTAAGTCCTTGCTCAGAATCCCGCTAGCCCAATGGAGGAACGTGTTCGAAGCTGTGCATGACTATTTTGTCGAGAATGCGATTGCCAACAGAACTATGGCAACAGCTGAGCAATGGGACGAGGCAGTAAAACTCCTGCTCAGTTATCCGCCGTGGAAAAAATTCAGATGCCTGCTTCAACGGCCGGAGGAAGATTGCTCTTTACAAGAGGACTTGATCAAAGTCTGTGTGAACAATACACTCCAAGATCTTGCCAAACGTAAGTCTGCTGAGAATAGAGAGAAGTTTTCTGAGGCACTTAAAGAGAAGAAGGGTGCGGCGAAGTTAGCGAAAGTGAAAACAGCGAAGAAGGAGACCAGGCGGAACGCGACCGATACAAAAGGCAAGGGCAAGCAGCGCGAGACGGCGACAATTCGCAGTTTGACAAAGAGGAGCAAGTAGGTGCAGGCACCTCTGCGCGATGACGGGGACGAGGGCTACCCTAACATCAGCAAGATTGTACATCTTCATGAGTCTCTCAACAGTCTCCCGGATCTCCTGAGGTTCTCCCGAGACATCAAAATGGATTTTGATTCTCTGGAGACTCAGGAGACACTTTACAGAAATTATGAGGCTTACTGATGAACATTGATGAATTTGCCTTGTCGGAGTACGAAGCAGAGAAGCCAAAGGACAAGACAGACACCGGAGATAAGATGGACGACGACGAGACATTCGAGGAACCTGACGAGTCCTTCTCGGCGAAGACACGGAGGGTCGAAAGAGCATCATATCTCTCTGATCAGCCTATCGGCATTTTTCATTGTTTTCCCTCCAGATACCACTTTGAGTGGATCGGAAAGGAGAAGTTGTGACTACTTCGGAAGCCAGGGAAAATGCCCAATTGGACTCCAAGAATCTTTGGTGGGCATCCCTATCTGACGTTTAGTTCACTTTCCGCTCCGTGTCTATCGGGGGTCATGTGGATAGTCAGGGGGGTACAACGAGACCCTGAAACTCACGGTGATGCTTCTGACCTGCCACACCCCGCGATACGCCATTTGGTCGGGTCTCTTGTCCTCGACGAAGAGTTTCCCAAGACAGCGTCGGGTCAATATCATGTTTACCAGCCGTTATTTGAACAGGTTATCTTCCTACAGTCGGACAAAGATGTCACAGTATGGCTCAATACTTGTAGACTTGCACCGTGACTGAAACTATTGGTGGTTTATAATGAGCGCGATAAAACTGACAGGCAGACTCCACTGCCGCTGTCATTCCCCTACTTTCATGGTGACTGGGCAGTGCTGATTGACAATCAGTTGCGGATTGACCAGAAAGCGTGGGGCATGAAGGTCGAGGAGACAGGAACTCGTTGGGGGAGATAAACGAGGAGGAAAGGAAATGAGATTGTGGAGGTGAGCGACGAAGACGATGACGATGACAACGACAACGATAACGACAACAACAACGACGAAGACGATGACGACGATGACGACAACGATGAAGACGATGATGACGATGACGACAACGACAACGACAACGACAACAACAAAGTCAAGGGTGAAGGTGGAGGGTTGAGTTCCCAAAAAAAGCTAAGAGAAGAGAACGCCGGAAAGGGCCTCTCGAGCAAAGCGGGCCCGAAAGGCAATGTAGGGGGCAGCTCGAGCAACGCAGCCCAGAAAGGCAAAACAGCGGCTAGCTCAAGTAAGGTGGCCCAGAAAGGCAAGGCGGGTAGCTCGAGCAAGGTGGTTCAGAAAGACGACGATGATGGCGACGACGATGATGCCGACGATGACGACGAATAGTGCTAGGAGGACAATGGCTTGGACAACGAGGAAGAAGAAGAGGAGGACAACGAGAAAGAAGAGTAGGAAGGGGAGGAGGAGGCGGCTCCAAGGAGAAAGAAGACAAAGACACCCAGGCCCAAGACGCCAGCCAAGACGCCGACATCAAAGAACACCGGCTCAAAGACCCCGGCCTAAACACCTGCTCATACTACTTCTGCTCAGCAAAGAGGGAAAAGATCGACAACATAAGTTAGACTAAATTCCGTACCGGTAATATATTTTTTCCTAACGCGGTCAATATGATGGACACCATCTGTTCGATTAGCTTGCTGAGAGTCTGCCTTATGAGAGTGAGCCGGAGGAAGAGCAAGGGGACCTTATACCAGAGCACAAAATCTGGGCCACTGCTTCACAGACTGACAGTGCTTTGGTGTCTGAAAGAACTACGCAAGAAAAGATGCCCGGTGAAGAGCATACCAGGGAAGGTAGTTACATTGATTGTTGTCCTGATGGAGCTATTCCTCCCGGCGGGCGTGGGAATAAGTCAATCGATCTGGACGTGGGTTACCTTGCCAATGCATCGGCCAGTTCGATCAAAGTGTCTAAACTCCAAACAATTCCCTGTCTTCTCCAGTTCCCACATCACAAACCTCCTCTGCTCTTACTAACATCAACCTCTCTAACCTCTCTATGAAGGGCTGTACCTCTATCTCTTGTCCTGCGACTCAAAAGAAACTTCGTTTCGAGTAGCACTGGTTGATAGTAGGTTGCAGGCTACAGTCACCTGCTTGTGAGTTTTCTGACCCTAATCGCAACCTTTAGGATTTGACGGTTGTGGTTCTTGTCTTTTTGTCAGTCTATCTTTCATGGCGCTCTTTTTTAGCCTCTTTCCGTGGTTGTTGTGATATGTTTGGTCCATCTATTTTGGGTAATTTGACAGTCATCTTGGTAATCTTTTGGGATGAGCCTTACTTATTTTGGTCTTTTGGGATTAACTTTATCTATTTTGAGTCTTTTAGAGATTAGTCTTATCTCTTTCAGGTTACTTGATGGTTGTTCTTGTGGTTTAGGATTAGGCATATCTGTTAGGGTCTTTTGGCGCAGGACGTGAGGTGAGTTATGTCCTTCGACGTTGATTGGGGTCGTTATCGATTTGTCTGATCATTGGTAGTCTTCTATTATTAGGAGGGTAACTCGACCGAATACTGTTTGGGGAAATAGCCAGTGCTAAGCGATAATTCTGTAGCGTTTAAACTGATGATATTGTAAACCGGATTTCCTTGACTTGATCGTGGATGATCCCCTCAAGTCTTCGCAGAATCCAGCCCTATTTATACATGTTGGAACCTATGCCAAGGCCCGCTTTCTAATACTAACTGATACAACGATAATAGAATAAGATAATGCTCCCGAAGATAACCCAGATAGAAAAGCGCCCCGCATAGTTCCGTCCTCCATTCTAATTCCGACACGTAACCATGAACCTTGCAATTGCCAGTCATCGGGCTGTGTCATACTATTATCCTAGACCTACCTCCCTAAGTAAAACAGCCTACAGCCGTAAGCCCCGCTTCCTACTCTATTTTGGGTGAGACATCCAATAGTAAGCGTGCCGTCATAATAGTATGATACTAGTGTGGTAACACCGCGTGCCCCCACACTACCCGATACCTTTCTATGCCTGTCCTTTCGTTACCCGACCGTCCTCGAATCACAATCCGTCACTCGTATTCCTCACTGTCCTAAGCCTCTAGGACAGTGTTCCGCAGTTCCTATAACAAATACAATACACAAAGGTTAAAGAAGATTCACAGTAATGAGTATATTGAGCAAAAAGATGTAGCCGACGCCAAGCAACTTATTAGACAACTGACAATCCAAGTCACGTCCCACCTCCTTTCCTCTATCCAATCTGAAGGTGAGTACACAATCCCTGTTGCTCGCTTAGCCTATGACAACTCTAGTAAACGGACTGGATCAACGGAACATGATACGCCTCCCGGTCAAAGTAGGATTACCGTTTGATTAGCTGTATAAGACACATGCCAAATAGCATTAAAGTCCAGACAGGAAGGGTGCGGAATCGAAGCCCTTTTCATCTCCTACCATCGCCCACCATCTGGGAACGTGAGCTTGCTGGGGACGCCAACATTAATCACGTGACTGAAACCGACGGTTCACGAAATACCTCCATATAGTAATAGACCATACCAAGGGTATTGCGTCGGGAGGATGGGAAGACTCCGTTCGAAAAGCTGTTTATCCATGCCATTAAAGGGCGACGCCTAGGCAGGAGTGATGTGGGAATGAGACTATTGGTCAGAATGGTCGCATCCTACCATGGCTATCCTGCTTGTTGGAGACGTAGAGTCGGACTTGAGAGGGTTTTGACTTTACCGCCCTCGACTACCCACAAACGATTTAGTGAAACGGCGTGAATCTGTGCATTGGTGGACTTATTTGGGCTAACTTTTGGATTCCAGAAACTCGAGACACATCGCGGGAAATATCTCCTAGCGTCGTTTGCCTCTAGCTATTGGTCCATGTATATATCAATGACATCATGGCAGAAGTCCCCCTCCACTCCCCCCCCTCCCCCATACAGTACTTTCTTATATAATCGTTACGTTGCGCTGCCCATCTAGTCGACAAAAACATCCTTGACAATACCTAGGCAAGAGAGTTAGTTTCATTTGTCTAACTCCTCCCGTCCCTCAGAAAAGACCTACAGAGAACCTTCTTCTCGTCAGAATACCAGGTCGTTTAGCAGGGGAAGACAACCGACTAGCCAAAGACATATACGATCTTCCCAGGAGATCCCAAGCACCTTTCCGTAAAAGTCAGCCAGACGATCACAAACACGTGGACGAGAAACATTGTCTGAAGACTATGTCTCCAAATACGAGTACCCATCACAAAGGGGTTCACAGATGGATTCACAACTTCATCGCGAGAGGCATTTGACGAAGGATGGGGGACTCAATGCCCAACAACCTACAAGCTCGCCCCTCTCAAGCCCACCCCGGCAATTACAATCTCAACAGCCATCTTCGAGGAATAAGTTATTGTCGGCCGCACGGAATAGAGAGACGGGCATGAACCAGTCCTCTGACCTTTTTCACAAATCCCCTGTGTGTCAAAGCTCCGAGTCTGTGAGACCATCCTCAGCAAGAACCCATCCCCAAGCCCGTCAAAACCCAACGTCTTCTAAGCCATCGTCGATTAGGGCTTCCTTTCCTGAGGTTGTCAGCGGTACAGGTTATAGTAGTGGCAGTGTCGGAGGGTTTTCTGAGGAGCAGTTGTTGCAAAATACATTAACATTGCTAGACTCTACCGATCTCAACAGGGTAAGAGCTCTCCGACATCGTAACTTAGGTCAATTCGACGTTGAGCTCAAGACTCTAATCGAAAAAGCTAGTTGGCAAGTGACCAAAGAGACACTATTCACTAACTCAATGCCATCGGTATTAAAGTTGGCGTACATGGTCAGAAATTCGTGGAATTTTTCCAAGGCGGGAGCCGACTTTACAGCGTAGTTGTCGACCAGTGTCACCGGGCAGGTGAGATACTACCACTAATGGGCTTGTTCACACATGATGGAGAAGGCAAAGGGGGTAATTGCATCATATTATGAGCTAACTGGCATAATCGGTGAGCAAGCAAAAGCCCGAGTCGATTACCTCCTGACAGATTACCGGTTTAATTGTGATCCCGATCAATACGATGTATATATACTGTTGATACAGAAGGCGAGATTTAGTACTAAGGGCTATAGCCCGTGCAATGGCACTTCGCCGCATCTCAAATACCACTTTTTATCGTCTACGCCTACTATAAGACCAATTGTGGGGTTGCCGTCAACTATCCGAAATTTGAGAGTTGTATCAACCCGTCTTTTATCTGCATGGTTTCTACTGTCCTATACCATCCGTTGAGAGTTTACGTAATTAGAGGCAGCAACTGGAAAAGTAGTGTCCTCAATAAGGACTATTGTAACGGTGAACACTCCATCATTCTTCTACTTATGTTATTGACGGGGATAATTTACTAACGTACAAACTAGTGATTTTTGAGAGACACATGCGTATATGAAGAAAGTCCTTCCCCGACGAGCAGACATCAAATCTAGTGCTAGACTGGATTCGACACGAAGTCTTGAAGGGGATTAAGAAGATTCAGTGCTGCAGGATTACCGCAGCGGAGAGCAGGCAGGCAATAATTGACCCTGGAGTAAGAAGCTTTTTGGCCGGTCTCCGAGCGAAGCTCATAACAGAGACTAACGACGATGCGGATTTCGACGAGCCAGAAAACCAGCCATTTGATGACAATTATGGGGAGGGTGGTGGTGGTAGAGTCGTTCGATCGGGTACGAAGACTACATAGATGACGCGGAAGAACAAGTGAATGACGCTATTGAGAGGAATATTGATAATGATATAATTATTCAAGATACTATAGAGAGACCTCCTGTCAGTATAATGGAGGGTGCCGGAGAAAAGGGCTAAGGAGAAGTGAGCGTAAGATGGAGGGGTAGACCGCGCAAGAACACGGGACGCTAGAATGAAATACCAACTTCAAAAGACGATAGCCTGAGTAGTATATATAGTTTAATACTAGTATAAATTCTTCTAAACTAAAAAATACAGCCAGTAGAAACAGAGACGGAGGATGAGTTACTTTGGGCAACCGATGAAATGTAATCCTAAAAGAACAAAGTATAATGGTCAGAGAATGGGTTTTTATGGGCAACCAACGAGAAAGAACAAAGTGCAATGATCAGAGGATGAGTTTTTATGGACAAACGACGAGAAAGAACGAAGTATGTAATGGTCAAACGGCGAGATTTTATGGGCAAACGACGTTGTGTGAGGTTCAAAGTACACAGATTAAAGACAGAAGAGAGCTACGATTCATAGTCAATTGGTCGTAAGACGTGATAAGACGATCTTGATTTGTCAATATACGAACATATTGATAGAAATTACAAGTTCAGTTGGCAGAGGACGGATTCGTCATGAGACATCAAGACGACGTCTTGGAGTGAAAAGATGTTATTTGCGTCTTGAGTACGTCTTTTGACGAAAAGATGCAGAGCGTTCATTGTGTGGCGCCCAGCTGTCAGTTTACAAGTAAGCAAAGGTTTTGGGGCATCTGGGGCATCTCGGGCATCTCGGGCGCCCAGGTGCCCCAAGATGACATTTCATTTTTTCCTGATATGTACCTGGGTCTTGACTGTCACTTCTGTATGGTTTAGAGGGTTCGGAACTAAAGTCAGAAAATGACTCGGAATCAGTTAGAGTTGCTCCTCAATTACTCATGAAGATCCCTTCAGTGTCCAATGGAGATAGCTTAGTATTTGGCAGAGTCCGGAGTTTCGTCCTGATTGGCAGAGGTACGGGGTTTTGTTTTCAGCTTTTATTGATCGGGGTGAACCCGAAAACTACTGGTGATTGCTTCACAGCTAGTTCTGGTCTCTTTTCCGGAATAGGCCTAACAGTTTTGCAGGACGATTTGTGACATGGGGAACATCGATGTTTCTTATATTTTCTGGACCATATGAGTTTCTTGGTTTTTGTTGAGACTTTTCTTTATCATAATCATCTATGTCACGCAAGTGATTCTTATTGGGAAATTGATTTGTATTCTTTTAAATTTTGAAAGTGCTCTGAGCGGTGTTTGAAGTCTGATATTTCTAATCTATCACCGTAGTGAGTACGGTTCTGAACTTAATTGGATTAGGAGAGAGAAATGTAACCGAGCCATTTCAACTGTCTGGTGTACGAATACACACAGGGCCCGATTATATGCTGAGAGTTATTGTTAAAAGCCAGTTGCATAGTGACATGCAAGTACCGTCAGTGTGGTTAGCTATCAGCTGTCAGAGTAACTACATTCTGAGCGTTAGGAAGAAGATCTACTTATGGGAGCAATGACTGACGAGTCTATGCCTCGCCAATGATTAGAAGGCCAGCCAGGGTGAAGCTCTGAGTGCTCGGTGATCCTCCACATCCTCTGAGCATTAGATGTCCGCCGGTAGTGGAAAGGACTATGCCTGGGAAGTCTACAATAAGCAAAAAAGCTCTACGGCAATGATTAAGCTTACACCTGAGTGGCAGCTCATTCATACTGGCCCCAGTTGTGTGACAACCAAGCCTGCAGGTGTTACAAAGGCTTTGACTAAGGGTGGTTGCCTTCGGAACCGGAAACACTCGCTGATACTTAGAGAGAAGCGGGGTAGTGATGGTATCGCTTCCCTTCTGCTAGAAGGCAGCACCGGAACTTAGTAAGGAAGTAGGAGCAGAGAATAAAGTCCTTTGGGAGTATAAATACTCAGAATCATTCCCGCCCAAGTGTCCTGATTCTCATCTTTATCTGGAAAAAAAATCGGTAGCAGAGCCATTAAAGATTATTGAGTTCTAGCTATAGTATCTTTGAATAAATCTGCACCTGATTTCTATCTTGCACGGCCGCATCTACTCTATTGGATTCTAGCAATATATAGAACAGAGTGCCCCGTTTCAAAAAATACTATTTTATTTATAAAGCTTGCAAAGATTGAATCGCTTCAAGTTGTAAATGTAGGAACTTGAAGGATGAGATTTCAATAGGCATTGATGAAACATCAGCAAAAAATGAAGTCTCGTCTTGTGATGCCTGGGCACCCCAGATGCTCCAGACGCTCCGGACGACACAAAACGAGTTCTTACTTGCATACCAACACATGTGTTCCCCATGACGAGAGCTTTGCATCCCTTTGTCAAGTGACATCATCGCGACAGGTCTGGATGCAAAGTACTCTCCTGATGTCTCCACACTCGTATTTTTGGCCTGGTTAACGGCTTTCGCAAGCAGTTTTTGCTGGCAGAACGAGCTCACTCGGCAAAGTATACATCAACTAGGACATGTTTTCCACGCGACTGTCATATATATTTGTTTATCTGTCCATCTAATTCTATGTATATGGTGATATTTGCTAGCGCCTTACTACCTACCTTTACGCGTGCTGCCTGCCTGCCTACCTCCATGCACGCTGCCTGCCTGCCTACCTCCGCACGCTGCCTGCCTACCTCCGTGCGCACTGCCTGCCTACCTACCTCTGCACGCTGCCTGCCTACCTGCTCACCTGCCTGCCTGCCTGCCTGCCTACCTGCCTACCTACTCCACACCTGCCAACCTACTTCCGTGCTTGACTACCTACCCCCGCACTTGCCTGCTTACCTGCCTACTTCCACACCTACTTGCTTACCTATCTACTTATTAGGAGCTTAATTGACGTTGATTTCATGCACCACCAGTTGTAACGGGGGCAGCCTATCTATGTATCGCTAGAATCCAATAGAATAGATGTGGCCGTGCAAGATAGAAATCAGGTGCAGATTTATTCAAAGATACTATCGCTAGAACTCAATAATCTTTAAGGGCTCTGCTACCGATAATGGTCTACTCGAAGATGAGGATCAGGTCAGTTGGGCGGGAATGATCCTGAGTACTTATACTCCAAAGGATTCTATTCTCTGCTCCTACTTCCTTACTAAGTTCCGGTGCTGCCTCCTAGTGGAAGGGAAGCAATACCATTGCTACCCCGCTTCTCTCTAAGCGTCAGCGAGTGCTTCCGATTCCGAAGGCAACCACCCTTAGTCAAAGCCTTGTAACACCTGCAGCCTTTGTTGCCACACAACTAGGGGCCTGCATGAATGAGCTGCCGCTCAGGTGTAAGCTTAATCATTGCTGTAGAGCTTCCGCTTATTGTAGACTTCCCAGGCATAGTCTCTTCCACTACTGGCGGACTTCCAATGCTCAGAGGATGTGGAGGATCGCTGAGCACTCAGAGCTTCACTCTGGCTAGCCTTCTAATCATTGGCGAGGCACAGACTCGTCAGTCATTGCTCCCATGAGTAGATCCTCTTCCTAGCGCTCAGAATGTAGTTACTCTGACAGTTGGTAGCTAACCACACTGCCGGTACTTGCATGTCACTGTGCAACTGGCTTCTAACAATAACTCTCAGCATGTAACCGGGCCCTGTGTGTACTCATACACCAGACAGTTGAAATGGCTCCGTTACACTACTCCCCTCTTCCAGGATCTTGGTCTCCGAGATCTATAATCTGTATCTATTTATCTATGCAATACTATATGACAAGGAAACTCCTTTGGTGTGGAAGGGGACGAGAATGTTAAAGGAAATGCTACTGGCCTAGAGCCCTCTTATCTCTGGGCTTCTTAGGGTACCTCATATGGAAATCCCGGAGGGCTTCTTCAGCACTCTTCCTGAGATGTTCCCAGGGTTCCCATGTAGCGTCCTCATTCTCATATCCTTCCCACAGCACCAGGTATTCCACCCTTCTCCTCTTCTTATTGACTCGGCTATCAGCTACTTCCCGGACGATCCAGTTTTGTTCTCCTGTAATCTCCTCAGGTTCCGGTGGGGGAACTCTTCTCTCAGGATCTATTGGTGCTCTATAGGGTTCTAGGAGAGAGACATGGAAGACAGGGTGGACTCCCATTTGCAGGGGAAGAGAGAGCTTGTAGGCACGG